CATTGTATACACTTAATTTCTCTTGGAATAATCATCAATGAAAGTGATAAAATAATTGGCCCTACCAAGAGATGTATTCTTGGAAGGACCCCAAATATCTGTGTGAATGTAATCTAATATACATTGGGTGTTATGAGTGTGGTGCCGAATTTCATTTTTGTCTTCTTCCCAAGTATGCAATGTTCACATAACTCCATCTTGCGGGTCTTTGCACCTTTCAATAGCCCTTATTTCGCTAATAACTATAGGGACTTATCACCAGTGTGTCTTAATCTCATGTGCCATAGACGGGCAGTATCCTCCTCTGTGGTAATAGAAGCTGTCAGACCCTCTGTTACTGTCTTGCCTTTCAAGTAGTAAAGATTTTTTTTCTTGACATCTCTCATCACCACCATGGACCCCTTAGTGATCTTCAAAGTTACATTTTCTAATATCACCCTATAACCTGAAGCCTCCAAAGTTCCAAGTGAAATGATATTCTTCGTCAATTGAGGAACAAATCTCACTTCATTCAACTCTCTAGTCACACTATCGCACATTCTGATTCGAAATATTCCAATACCACCAATGGGACATACGTGATCATTTCCCATTAACACGACACTCCCTCTCTCTAACTCCTCAAAGCTAGAGAACCAATCCCTCCTGGGATAAATATGGTATGTAGCACCCGAATCCAACATCCACTCTATAGAGTCTACATAACAAACTGACGGTAAACTGAGCATGAGTAGCCTGAAGAATTTGAATCTGAATTGTCATTACTAGTTTTGGTAACATTCACCTCTGAAGTCTGAACGACTTTCCATTTATTCTTCCCGGTTCTATCTTTCAACTTTGGGCATTCACTTTTCTAATGTCTATCCTCTTTGCAAAAATTACATTGATTCTTACCCACACTTCTATGACCACCTCTTGGCTTCAATTTTGAGCAATTAAATGGATGGGGTTTGGTACTACGGTCTCTCACTGTCAATGCATCTCCCGATGCCTTCTCAGAGGGTTCGCTATCACTTTTTCTCAACTCATAATTCACCAATGCTGAGGTCACCTCCTTATAGCTGACAGTAGTTCTATCATTAATCATCATAAGGACAAAGGTACCATAATCATCCTTTGGCAACGAACATAATAATAATGCCACCTTGTCTTCATCCTCTACAATGATATCCATATTGGCCATATCCGATAGCAATTTCATGAAGTTATTAACATGTTCTCTAATTGAAACTCACATCTTCATTTTGAATTGGTAAAACCTCTTCTTTAAATGAAGTCGATTCTCAATGCTCTTCGTTAAATAATTCTCATTGAGTGTTTCCCATAACCGTTTCGCCGAAGTTTTATTCATAACATCATAAATCAAATCCAACGTCAAACATGATCTAATAACTCCACATGTTCTACTATTAATTTTCTTCCAAACCTTATCCTCCATATCATCGGGTTTTTCTTGTAATTTAAGAGTCTCCACCAACTTTTGAGCATCCAATGCATCCATTACTTGACACCTCCACAAACCAAAATTTATTTTGCCATCAAATTTTTGAACATCAATGTTTGTGTTAGTAATGCTCAAACCTTGTATCGCCTTCATCAGGGACGATCCAGATGTACTTGCTTCGGTCATTGTGATAATCCAATCTTCTTCAAATGAGAATCTGCACGAGATCCCTTGTAGAAGCACTAGCTTAATCCTCCAAAATCGAACTCCAAGCCAACCTGAAGCTCTAATACCACTTGTTATGTGCAGTGAAATTCGAAACACAACAAACGAACGAAATACGAGAACAAAACAATAACCAAAACACAAGCACCACACAACAAGACACCAAATTTTACGTGGTTCGGCAATTTGCCTACGTCCACGGGCAAGGAGGGGGAAGATTTTACTAATAGAGAGAGAGTACAAATAAAGATTACAATCACTCAATAATCTCACCAATTAACCCTAATCAAATGATCTCACAAAGCTCTCAAATTTCTCACCAATTCTTCCTTTCAAAGTGCTCAAAACAATGCTTTTTTCTCAGTCAAAAAACCCTAGAAACGTCATATTCCTATTTATATCAAAACAGCAAACACAAACCAATCAGGAAACTAAACTGGGCCCAAACCACATCGCGGTCAACCGAACATGTCGCCGCGGTCGACCGGCCAGAGGGTCGAAAACTGACCATGTAAACATAACAGGGTTCGGTCAACCGGACATGTGCATCCGGTTGACCGGTCAGAAGCCCAAACTCTCACCTTGTTCCTGTGCATGTTTCCGGTCGACCGGACCTAAGCCTGCGGTCGACCGGCCAGCACCCAAATTGCCTTCAGCTTCGTTTTTCCTGTACTTTTTCGCTGTTTTTACATGCTTTCATGTCCAGGACTTGAACAGATTCACTAGGAATGGCCTTGCTAATTTCACTCGAATAATCTAGCCATTATGAAAATTCATGCAAACACGGCTATATGCCAAAGAGCAAAAGGCAAAAATCTGAGCCAGGAAGACTGCATTCTTGAGTAATCGTGGATCTAAACTTCAATATCATACTATAACCTATAGGTGAAAGCTAGTTTACTCTTAGGTACATCTTTATTATTCGTTATCCAATTTGAGATGAGCATTTCAAACTTTTCAAAGGAGAATGAGGGGGAAAAAAACTCAATCACAAGAGAACAGAAATTATGCAAGGCACAGTATATATACAGGTTTAATATATAACAAAATTGAAGGGATATTGTAACATGGAAAGGACCACAAAATCATCGTTTGTTACTGCAGGCGATCGTCACAAGATGGCAAGTTGAACTTTCTTTTAATTTTTTTTTTAGTGAATTTGTTTATAACATTAGTGATACCATCTTGAACTCAGGTTAATTGATTCTGAAAATAATATGCATTCTGTGGTGCTGCCTGTGTATTTTTCGGATAGTCTACTTCATAAAGGATATTGTCTGGTCGGCATATGGCCACTTACATGCTTCTATGCAATCCCATGAGAGTAAAGAAAAGCATGACCAGATATCAAATCTCCTTCCCGTGTTTGTAAATCGTGACATAACCTCTGCCGCATGCTTTCCTTCAATCGTTCACGATAGCCGTTAGCGAGTTTGGTTAAAGTACTTGTTCGTAATAAAAATGGTGACACGTCGTCGCGTTCGACGCTTGCCTCGTCAAAATATAACGTTACCAAAATGTACTTCGTACAGTGTTTAAGGAAGTATTGTCATAGGGAGGCTAGGGTCCAATGTGATGCCACTTATTTGCACCTTCTTTCTCCGAGGAATAAAAGGAGACGAAAAAAAAAACATAGCAAGATGTAATATGAAAATAACCAAATTAGACTAGAAATATCAGGACAATAGGGATTTTTGTTTGAATAATGTTTCTGTAATTCGACAGGTCAAGGGGTTCTCATATCAAAAGATTGACGCGGTTCAGGGTTGGCTTAGCTTTTGGATGTTCGTGTCGAGAGAATGAATGATGACTCTCAGAGAATTCAGAAATTGTTTTTTCATTGATATATGCTCCGAGGCGAGGAGCTAATTATGATCAGGGCTGATAGTTTGTACATCGGATCGATATTCAAAAACTAACAGAAGTTTTCGTTTTACGATCCGTTTTATATTTACATCACAGATATTATTGCTATTGTAACCAACACGGCCAACTTAGGATTGAGAGACAACAACGGAGTATGAACACGATACTCCGCGGTTTCGTCCTTTTAATTCTTTTATTGAACTTACTTTGACGAATTTTGGTGTATACATATGCAATTCATGCGCCATTTGTGATCGTATGAACCAGAGAATGTTCATTAATTCTTCAAAGTCTGTTGCAATTAATCTAATTCAACTATTCTTTTTGCAGGCGTAGGGGAGTAGCATCACCAATTAAAAACAGCTACTAATTAAAGTTGGTTACTTTTACGCCTGAGATTACTGCATGGGTCCTTATATTATGAAGAAAGTCATTGCCTTTGGCTGCTCACTTCAGTACTTCAAAGCCTGATAACATGAGTACATAGTCTTCAGCAGTAGTTCTTCATGCCTCAGGGATGGCCGGGGCTTTGGCGTGATACTATTCTAATGATTGGTCTTTGTCCTCATCTGCAACCATCGGCAGGGAATCGTTAGCCTTTAGATGCTTTGGATAATTAATTTGGTTGGTTTATTACTCCTTCTATAATAACCCCTAACTAAACTCGATCTCTTTGTGATGCTTTGTTTGCTTGTTGCTAGCTTTGTTAGCTTGAGAACCTCACAAGAAGAGTACATTAATACCTTGTTCCTTTTGTTGGGTATATGGTCAAGACAAGAGATATTTCGCTAAACAAAGCATTTCTTGGTTCTTTTCTAATGCTACAAGGTTGCTTCATTAGTTTAGAGATTCTTAGGAATCCTCATTGACTAATTAGTTTGGTACTTTGTGAAGATAAATTTAAATAGTTAAAAAATATTGAGGACCATCCTTCTTCGATCTCCATCTTAAAAGCTTATAGAAAATTGTATCGATCGGTTGGCTTTTAGTCTTTCACATATGAAGGTGATTGATTATACCAATCAAACTAGGAGAGTCATAACGTCTACTGATTTGCATATATACTCTAAAACATCCCTATCTTTGGTTCTATGATGTAATAATTAATGAGCTTGTCTTTATTTCCTAACTACCTAAAAGCTCCTTATTATCTTTCTATGCTTTGTTCTTGCATTTGTTGTCTTTCTATGCTGTTTCTTAAAAAAAGAAGAAGAAAATACGCCTTTGGCGCAGATAACAACACCACCAACAACGACAACTACTACTTACGCCACCTTCGACGCAATCAAGCCCATGCTCTCCCCACGAGAGAGCGACACGGCTTGGTCATGTGACCCACTGGGGCTGCCGCCCCCCACTGATGTACATATAGTTCTCAGGACCCAATCACTTCTAATTAAAATCTCAAATGACAGGCTGAGAGATTATCCAAATACTCAACTACCTCTTCGATAATTAATTAGCATAAACGGCAAAAGCGTGATGATGATGATTATGGCGATAAGTGTTATAATACTAGCATAAACGGCCCATGAGGTGACACGGACATCTTAAATTAGGATTTGTACCATGATCATGTAGTAGTAGTTTCAGAGCCATGCTTCCTCCCTTTCTCTGCCTCCTCAGAGAGATTTAACAAATTATGAACCCTTTTACACGTCCAACACTAGACTCAACACTACGCCAGGCCTCCCCTGCTCTCTCTCCCCAAAAAAAAAGAAAAATCCATGACCACCGAGTGATTAACAACATGCAGAATCCAAACCACAACTTCTACCCCTCAACGAGCCACCCTCCGGAGATCTCTGATCCCAGCGCTTCGGGCGGCAAATGGGCCGCGAAACTCTTGGGAGAGTGCGCGAAGGCCATCGCCGACAAAGACTCCGGCCTCATTCAGCACTATCTGTGGATGCTGAACGAGCTGGCCTCCCCTTACGGAGACTGCGACCAGAAGCTCGCGTCGCACTTCCTGCAGGCCCTCTTCTGCAAGCCCACGGGCTTCCGGCGACGGTGCTACAAGACCCTGCGCCGTCGCGGAGAGAGCCACTCGTTCGAGTCACGCTGGAAGGTGATCCTTAAGTTTCAGGGAAGTGAGCCCGTGGATAACTTTCGCCATGTGGCGTCCATGGCGCGACTTGGAGGCCTTGGAGTGGGAGGCTAAGCTTCATATTATCGACATAAGCAACACCTACTGCGCACTCAGTGGCCGACCTTGCTAGATCCTTGGCCACCCGCAGCAACTGACGAGACTCCTCCAGCCTGAGGCTGTCGGTCGTCGTCGGCGAGCGTGGGGGCTCCGTGATTGAAGGAGAAATCCGGGCAAGGATGGAGAAGTTCGCGAGCGTTGATGGGGTCCCGCTTTCGAGTGTCAAGTGATCAGCGGCTTCTCTAAGCTGAGCGACCTCAAGGAGGGGATTTCGGGTTGAGGGAGACGAGGCCGTCGCCGATCAACTGCATCGGCGCTACGAAGGTGCGGTCGAGGAAGAGGGGTTTCGTGGCGGCTGCTCCGGTCCCTCGCGCTAGGTGCTTGACCGTCGTGGAGAGGAGGTGATTTCACGAGCACGAGGGCGATTCGTCGAGTGCTTCGACGAGTGCTTGAGATTCTCCGGGCTGTTCTTCGAGATGATGGAGGAGAGCTTGTTCCACAGCACGAGAGGCTCGTGATGGAGAGGAGAGCTCAGGAGCAATCCTGAACGTGCTGGCTTGCGCCGCGAGGAGAGGGCGGCGGGGAAGGTGCTGCGAGAGGAGGGAGAGAGGAGCAGTTGTGCCTGAGGATGATGGAGGCGTTCTCGTCGGCTGTTTTCAGCGGCCGACGCGGTGGACGACGTGAGGGCCCTCTTGAAGAGGTACCGCGCGGGGTGGTCGCTCGTGCCGGTGCTGAGCGACGCGTCGCCGGGGCTGTACTTGGCTTGGAAGGAGGAGCCCGTTGTGTGGGCGTCAGCTTGGAAACCCTAGTCATCGGATTTTATTCTTAGCTAGGCCAGGGACACCAGAATTAATGTTTTTAGGATTTGGATCGTGATGCTGGAGTTTACGTCCTTTTTTTGTGACATCGCCGGGCACCGCGTATAGCTCCGTCACCGCTAAGGTTTACATCACATATTCATTCTTAAATTTCTTGGTTTTTTTTGAGTGTAGGATGAGATCATGTGTTTTTGCCTGTTTTTGTGACTCTCTCTCTCTCTCTCTCTCTCTCTCTCTCATTGTTTGCATGTCTTGAAAAGCTTTTCCCAGTTTTGCAAGTTTTGATTTTGGATTCAGGAGCGTTTAGAGGTGAGACTATGTTGTGTATGCTGATCTCAATCCGTATAGTATGAAGACGAAAGCATATGTTTGGAATTTATTGTATAAATTACGGATCCGGATCCTCTCCTCATGCATAGTATTTTCTAATGTTTCCTAATGCATCAATCCCCTTCATCGCCCTCCAATGGGCCCCACATGTGTAAAATGAATGGTCAAGATTGAACATTAGGAAATATTAGGACACTATGCATGAGTAGAGGGTCCAATTTCATAAATTACGCCTTTTTTTTAAACTAGCTGGAGCATGATGCCCAAGAAATTTATTGATTGGAAAAATAGACACAGAAGCTACATGAAATGAAAGAGAGAATAGGAAGACTTAAGCATGGAGGGAAGAGATACATAAATTGCTATAACATGCACAATGGCAAAATCCCTTAAGCGATATCTCATAGGTTTCTTATCTACAAGTATTCATTCATGGTGACCCCAACCTGATTTGAATTCATCAAATTAAGATGTAGAAGCATATTAATTAGAACTTATCAAGTTTAGAACATAAAAGCATATCGATTATAATTCATTCAATACGATGAAAGTAAAGTATATATTTTTAGGATCCCAACCCTACACAGGTGATTAGAGAGTTAGATTGAGAATTGTGACTATTAAATGAATGATGTACACTCCCTCATTCTGATAAGTGGAGGAAATTTCCATGTTTTATGAAGCAGATAATCACTGGAAAATGGGGGAAATGTTTATTCAAAGGCCACCATAGTTAAATTGCAATCCTTGGAACACTTTCCAATGCCCTAGTGTTTCTGACTCATGATTCCTTTTGTAGCTAGCAGTAGTATAGTGAATATTCATGGAGGAATATTATATGTATATTATGCGAAAGAATAATTCAGTGTAATGATTACTCCCACTAAACAAGGTACTCCTGCTGTCCTTTAAAAGTATCGAGTTGTTTTCCTTTAAATAAAATGTCATAAATGAGAGGGGATTTTGCAATGGCCCACGCTGTGTGTATTAAGGGATATAAAGATGAGATCCGTGATTACAACAGATCATAAACTTGCACCCGCGTTGCTTCATATGTTGCGTTATGATTTGGATTTTATAGATGGATCATACATTACATTAAACCTTGAAATTGTGCTATATATGTCATGCTCAGTTGGCCCCTTACTAGCCACCTGCATGTACCCAACATTTTGCAGCATGCATGCATGATTGTTGGATTTTTGGTCAAAACTGTTTTTCAAAATGAGTTTTCAAACTATATATACATTAACTATAAGTATTTTTCATAAATGCTTAGTAGCCAAGTGGAAAGTTTATGTTTTGGTGTTTTAAAAGGTCCTTTGTTCGAGGCTTGCCAACGGCAAGCCGAGAAGTGTTTTATTTGAATTAATCTCTCATAAGTTCTAGTGGGTCGTGGAAGATTATTGCTCAAAGATATAGCAGAGAATACTAGTACATCAAACGCACCAGAGGAGCCAATTTCTTGAGAAACTGAAAGTATCAGTGATGAAGGAGTTACTGAACCATCTTCCAAGCGTGTCAGGAGACAGAAAGATTTTGGAGATGATTTCATCACCTATAATGTGGAATGAGACCCACAGACTTTCCAAGAAGCAATGCAATCAATAGACGTTCTTCTGTGAAAAGAAGTTATAGATGATGAGATTGATTCATGGATCCAAAATCACATGTGAGAGCTGGTGGATGTACCTGAAGGTGCTAGGCCTATTAGTTGAAAGCGGATCTTCAAGAAGAAGCTTCGTCCTGATGGTACTATTGAGAAGTACAAAGCAAGACTGATGACGAAAGGATTCTCTCAAAGAGAAGGAATAGATTTCTTTGACATTTATGCATCAGTTTGTAGGATCACTACCATCAGAGTGCTTATCGCATGGGCGGCGATAAAAAGGTTCGTCATACATCAGATGGATATGAAGACTGTCTTTCTTAATGGAGACCTCACAGAAGAGATCTGCATGGAGAAACCAGAAGGACTTGATGCTCCAGCTGCTAAAGTTTGTAAACTTATTAAGTCTCTATATGGACTTAAGCAAGCATCGAAACTCTGACATGAGAAGTTTGATAGGGTTGTTCGCAACAATGGGTATCAAGTCAGTGAGTCTGACAAGTGCCTATACATCAAGGTCGCTGAAGGGAAGACAATGGTTATCTGCCTCTATGTGGATGATATGCTCATTGTCGGGAGTGATTTAGAGATAGTAACATCTACCAAGAAATTTCTATCAGCTCAGTTCAGCATGAAGGACCTTGGAAATGCGGACGTGATTCTCGGAATCAAAATCATATACTCTGAAGAGGATATTGGATTGTTCCAATCTCATTATGTTGAGAGCATGCTAAGAAAGTATGTCTACTACGACCTGTCAGAACTATTAGTGTTGTATGATTACAACAATAAGCTTCGACCGAACACTGAAAGACCAGTAGAGCAGCTAAGGTACTCAAAGATAATTGAAAGTCTTATGTACGTGATGAGCTGCACAAGACCAGATATAGCATTTTTTGTAGGAATGCTTAGTAGGTTCACAAGTAATCCTAGAAAGCTTCACTGAGATGCTATCCAGAGATTGATGAGATACTTGAAAGGAACTACTGTAGGCTGTCTAAAAATCACAATAGATAGTTAATCCCCCATCAAACACCGATGATGGAAGTTATAATCTGACAACTTCCAGAAGGCTACAATTTGAGGACTTTCACGTAGAAGGTTACAATCTGACGACCTTCACAACAACTAATGAAAGCCCCAATTCAACAGCCTTCACAATCAACATCAGGAGTTACAATCTGACGACTCTTATATTTTCAAGGAGCCAAGACGAAGATTACAAGAGGACGATCTGTGCAAAGCTCTAGCAAAAGAGATTACAAATTGACGGTCTCTTCATATTAGAACGCAGATATCTCTCAAACCGTAAGGAATTTGGCGAAACGGAGGAAGTGAACCGAAGCCTTCAGCTAGGTTCGGATGGCCCCGTCTCGTCGAGATAGCCGATTTTCATATATAATTCGTCCAATTCTGACGTACGGTTTGAAAGTTATGACCTGTTCTTCGTAACAAGTTATGTTCTGAAGTCCGTCTGCAAGACTGGACTTCATCAGAACATTGGACTTAGCCTGAAGCCCGCCAAACCCGCCTAAGGTTCGCCTCTGCATTACAGAGTCAAAGCGCACATGCTCAACTCTGCGTTTTCAACATCAAAACGCAGAGTTAATCGCTAAAACAGCACAACTGTGCGTTTTCAGCCGTTAACAGGCTCAACTCTGCGTTTTCAACATCAAAACGCAGAGTTAATCTCTAAAACAGCACAACTGTGCGTTTTCAGCCGTTAACAGGCTCAATTCTGCATTTTCAACATCAAAACGCAGAGTTAATCTCTAAAACAGCACAACTGTGCGTTTTCAGCCTTTAAACAGGCCCAACTCTGCGTTTTCAGACTAAAACGCAGAGTTCATCTCTAAAACAGCACGAACTGTGCGTTTTCAGCCTAGAACAGGCTCAACTCTGTCCAGCAGACATCTAACTCTGTGACGCAGAGTTAAAGCACAAACGCACACATAACGTGCGTTCTTCAACAAACTCAACCATGCGTCCCAAACTCTTGATGCAGAGTTGAATTTCAACGCACAAGCGACCTGTGCGTCTCCAATTCCAGAACGCATGCGGCCTGTGCGTTTCAAACCTTTGACAAAGGTTTAACTCTGCGTCTCAGGCCTTAGACGCAGAGTTAAGGCCCAGAACGCTATTTTTCAGCGTTTGAATTGTTCAAAGCACGTAATGAACAGTTCCAGGAACTGTTTTTCCCCACGATTTGAGGGATTTTCGCCCCACTTAAGAGCGGATTAAGGGGGTAGTTACCACCCTAAATCCCCTATAAATAATCTCTTTTTTGGCTGACTTTTTAGGGATCCTTGATCGGGCATCTTTGAGCTTTCTGCAGCAACAGAGAGCTTTGGAGATCAGCGACTTGAAGGAGCTCTTGAATCATTTTGGAAGGCTTTTATTGAAGCCTTTGAAATTATTCGGCCTTGGCTTATAACCGACTTTCGGTTCAAATCAACTCTTTTTCAATAGTTCAAACTCGTACAAAGTTTGAGAAGGCCCTCTCCTCCGGATCCTTTAGCCCCAAGGCTATGCGCAAGATCCACAAAGTTTCCGAGGAGACTAAAGCTCCAGTTGTGGCCAACTCATCTAAAGACTATCTCCCATGGGGGTTGCACTGTTCATACAGTCCCCTCCCTAAAGGAGAAGTCTCGACTTTGGCACGACTCCAGAGCCGATCCTCCAATCAACGCGAACTCCGCGTTTGCGAGCCTCAATATGAGCTCTGCATAGGCCAAGCTAGACGCAACCCTCAGGGGTGCGTTTCCCAGATAGAACGCAGCCTTCAGAGGCGCGTTCCAACATCAGAACGCAGACCTCAAAACTGCGTTGATCTGGCTGAACGCAACTCTCAGGAGTACGTCTCAGAACTAAAACGCAACTCTCAGGAGTGCGTTCCAAAATTTAAACGCAGACATCAAACCTGCGTTGATCTGGCTGAACGCAACTCTCAAGAGTGCGTCCCAGAACCAAAACGCAACTCTCAGGAGTGCGTTTCACAAACTGAACGCAACTCTCAGGAGTGCGTTTCTGAATCCGAACGCAGATCGCAGGACTGCGTTTCACTAGCAAAACGCAGACTTTGGTCTTGCGTTAATCAAGCTAAACACGACCCTCGTGTTCCTTCTTTGGAACACGATGTGATTCGTCGTGTTCAAAATGATCAACATGGATTTAAAATTCATGTTTACCAAGAACCAGTCCCATCCTTTAACGGACAGGGGGTTCCATCTCTACCCTCACGCTCTGTGAGAGGTGCCAAGGAGACTAAAGCTCCAAAGGTTGCTCCTATGCCAAAGGAAACCCTCTCCTTCAGCCGCCGAGATTACTCGAGCAGCCCCACCTCTAAAGGAGTGGACTCAGTTTATGCCAAACGCAGCCCTCAGTGGTGCGTTGTGCAATCAAAACGCAGCCTTCAAAACTGCGTTGATTTGGCGGAATGCAACTCT